TGTCAATTTGCTTCACCTATATTAATACTTTTAAGATTATCATTGAACGGAGGTCCGAAGATAATGGGTTATCTTACATTGTGAACCCACCTATTGTCGTTAACATGACTTCCTTTTTGACGTATTAATTCCAGGTTTTTTAACGAAAATCGACTTTTTGAAGGAGGGTGACGGTCTGAATGACATAAGGAAAATAAGATATTTTTTCTAACTAAGCGCCAGGGCGACGATTAGTAATTGGATGGGTGACCGCAAATGAAGATCGAATCATTGAATTATTTCGGTGACCTCTGGCCCATATGGTCTCAACTGCGGTGAGAGAAATGTTACAGAAAGACAGCCCTGGGGACTGCGTGTAGTAAGCTACTGACTCGTCGGCAGTCAAGAAAAAAAGGCGTTTGTAAAACAAAATTTACCACGACAAACTCGCAAGGACTAGTTCTAGTTGACACGTTTTTGACGAGCTTTGACGTATATTGACGAGTTGAATGCAGTAAGTGATTCATTTTCCCATACACTAGGTAGTCTCTTCTCATGTATTGCACAAAATATTGAAGCCAAAATTGTCTACAAGTATCTAGCGACATCTAATTATTATTTGCATCCGGCATGAGCATGTTACAAGCCAAGCTTCGGCTCAAAAGCTTGGCTTGAGCCAGCTCAGTGTTTAGCCGGCTCAAGATTGGGTAGCTTGACTTGTAACATGCCTAGTTGTGCAATCTTAGATAAGAGAATAAAAGTTGCAAAATTTAATTTTAAACAGTTTATCTGCTTCAGTAATCTCTCTAACACGTTCCTGTTCTAATACAAAAAAAATGTTTTTTTCAAATTTTTTGAGGAAAACAGCATTCTAGCAACTTGAGTCAAGAGAATAAGGTATTTCGAATTGAATTTTACAACTTTTATCCTCTTCTCTCAAATTTTTAAAACACGAGCTTCAGTGTGAAAAACCCAAAAAACACTTTTGCTGCACCAATTAACCTTAATTAGTGCTTTCTAATTAATAAAAGACGATTGATTCTACAAAAAAACTGAATTCAACACACCGAAACAAAATTTAAAAAAGTTATATTGAGCCGGCTCAAGGTTGAGTAGCTTGGCTTGTAACATGCCTAATCCGGCAGACAATAATTAGATGCCGTATGTAACACGGCGCCGCATCATCTAATACTTTTGGATAGAGTATATACTATGATTGTACTAAAACATACGTGGTACGAACACTATAGTTTTCAAAAGTATTTCAATTCATCGTTGTAGAAGAGATCTAATAGAAGATTCATAGTATTATATTTCCTACTACTTAGATATACGCTCGATTTTCCTCAAGACATGGTCAATTACAGGTAATTTCTTATGCTGCACCTAAGATGTATGCTTTGATTCTATCTTATCTTCATTTCGATACATTATAAAATCCACATTTTATTCAACATACTTTACAATTTTTTCTCATATATTATATCGTCTTGAGCTACTCATGAACAAACAACAGAGGTATAGGTTTTATCATTATTTATCTTATATTATAAATCAGTTTTGCACCTGATAGATTGTACACTTGTTTACCTTTTAAATAAGCTTGTAAACTTAGAAAGCTAAATTAAGAACAGCCGAATCGATTTTGATGAATCCAGTAGTTAAGGGTTTTGAAGAACGCTCTTTCGCATAGTTAACCTAGAAGAATTTCAAAATGATCCGAATCAGGGTTTCCTGGAAAACCGGACTTTTGACAAACCGAACTGGATTAAACACATTTCTACAAAAACACAACTTTTTTCTATACTCAATTTTTTCTTATTTATTCTCTATTCTAGATATTCTGGTTCGTCTTTTCACGTAGAATCCGAATCTGGTTTCCGCTTTTTGGTACAAAGTCTACTTTTCGAGAAACGAGCGGAAAACTGTTTTTACGTGGAAATTGCTGCTTTTTATTCTCTTTCGCCATTTTTTTTCGTTCTATTAGAAGGAAATATCTTTTTTCTTCGAATGTTTCTTTGATGAGAGTGTTGCTAAGGAAGAAACAGAACGAAAGAGAGAATACTTTAATCTTATGTACAACTGTTTAACACATTTATGTTCAGAAGACACACGTATAAAAGTCAATATTCATACTTTGAACTAAAATAAGCAAAAAGACATCAGCACGAAAACGAATTATACTATTCATTTATGAGGACAATTTCTATAAGATCTATAAGTTGTCTGTTTATATAAAGTCTGATTTCCTGCGCATTTATCTATGCAACTGGAAACTTTCAAGACTCAGATTTGTAGAGCGTAGAATGGACTATTCAACGGTAAAAAAAGTTTCTGCCGAAATTCTTTTGCTCGTCTAGCAAGGCCACTTTCAAAAAGTAACGCTGTGACAGTTTTGGTAACGCTATGACACACTTTTTTGTCACACCATTTTAGGGCACTCGACGTTGTTCAAACAACTTCATATTTATACCTTAAGTACTTATAGCCTTCCTGAAGATACTCCACTTGCAAATAAAGTTCCAAAAGTTCCCTCAAGCTTTTAGATCGAGTCGGAAGTTCAAACTTGCAAGCAGCCCTTGAGCCTTGGCTCAGAAATATTTCTCGAAACAAAACAAGCCATTTTGTAAAGAATTGAATTCTCTATTCGATGATATATTTTTAAAAAACTTTTATGAAAATCTCGAGGTTACGAAATTAATATTAAAGTTTTCGAAAATTTTAAATTCAAAGTTTTTAATTGAAAATTCACTTTTTTCTAAAAATAAAGGCCGGACTCGTGATCAGCTTGAAACACCACGGCCGATGATGAGCTCGTATTTATTTCATGATGAAAAAAATAAAACAAAACTTGATCAGCGAAGTGTCGCGTTACGTGGACAAGCCGTCAGAATGATTTTCGAAAATCAATGGATAAAAGAGAAAGTCTGTCTTGGTGATCCAGATCTCCAGATCCAGAGATGATTTTCGAAAAGTTTTTAGATAGACTGGTAGATCATCATCGATCAGAGTTGTCTGTTAAATCATATTTCAAAAATGTTAAAAAATGAAGAAGTTATTAAAAAACGCTAAAATATATAAAAATAAAATAAATAATATATAAATATGAAATATCAAAATTGATCGTTTGAGATGGAGAGTCTATATAGGAGAGGCACAATTTCTTTCACAAAAACCTTCCACTTTAAAAATGACAAAAGAAGCTATGAGTTATTGGCGTAGGTTTTATAATTCTCTCGTTGCCTTCAATTGCTCGATGTAATATACATGTTTGCATTGGTAAACATAGGTGCCATGTATGTTCCCCTTTCCGTTCGATATTGTATTTCCATATTGTACATGTAAGCAGTGAATTGTTGTTTATCATGTTCGAATTTTTCAATACCCTTGTTCAAATCATTGATAAGACCTTGACATAAAGTATCGTTCAATGATATTGATGCGCTTATTTTATCAATGACGGCTTGTAAAATAGCCTTAGCTTGATCCATGTCGTGATTCTCTGCATGCGCAGTAGCTTCTTTCATTCCATTTGCAGCAATGATACGATTTCGTTGTACATCCAGATCATAGTTGACCTCGAGTAGTTTCTCATCATTTATCACTTTTGAGCGTATGAGTCTCAAAGGTATAGACTGAGTGAACAATATTTTTTGGCTTAATGGATCAATATAGTTCACTGATGCCGTCCCTATTTGAGATTTTTCTGCATCTGTCTCGTTAACGGTTGCCACATGAATTTCAAATACGAGATTTCGTTTCTCTTCTTCGTTCAAATCATGTATTTTGATGGTGACGCACGAACTTGGGACAGGTGAACTAGGAAAAATTGAATGAACTTTGACAATTTGATATGGATTTTCTAGCTCAATTTTGGCTTCAATATTTTGTGCAATACATGAGAAGAGACTACCTAGTGTATGGGAAAATGAATCACCTACTGCATTTAACTCGTCAATATACGTAAATGTACCCGATCCAATTTCGGCTATTTGAGTCAAAACGCTGACTTGATGATCGCTGCCTAATTCATATGTGTGACATGTTGTTGATTGAGGAATAGCACTCATAATATCGGCATATTATATACAACTACATTAGTGCATCTGTTACTTTACTCGATGTAGTTTCAATATCGGTATTCATATATGTATGTATATATATGAATGCTTAGGATTCTGGGATTTTACTCAATACAGAGTCTGTGTCCACATTCACATACATCTGTAAATCTCACACTCTGGTTCTGACTTAGGACATGTTGTCTTGTGACTCACTCTCACGGGATCCTTGTCCCCTCGTACGGCTTACATCGTTACAAGCTGCCCGTTAGTTCCACAGTACCAGGATTTTCTAATTATGCTCTTCAACATGATGTCAATATACGACGATCTAATGACGTTCAACGCAGCAACATATATACAAAATGTACATCTCATTTTAACTCAAAGAAATACACGTTGAAAAAGAAGAACCTGATCTAAAAGTTCTGGAGAAGCAAACAAAACTTCCACCTCCTTCAAACAGCAATTTCACAACTGATTTATACTGTGTACAAAAAGAAGAAAAAATCCTATTTAGACCCGGAAACAAAATTTTGACAAAATCAGCCTCAAGTGACAGATATATCGATACCCCCCTCCCCCTCCCCATAATAGAAGCCTCCCCCGTATTAGAAGCCCCCTCTGGAGGAATCGATGTGGAAGGTGTATTGGAAGCCCAAGGGCTTTTATTACGTCAGAAAAATAATTTCAATTTTTTAAACGACACATTTGATCGACACGCGTTTTTTTACTTTAATTGTTCTTGTATGATGTCGTGTGTAAAAAAAGGAAACGAATAAAATTTACATTTTTTATCTCGAAAAAGATTTTTTTCAGATTAATTGAGATTACCATGATTAGAAAGGCAAGAGCATCGAAATTCAAAATCTCCTTT